TACACTATGCTAGGCTAGTGACTCGGCGCTTTTGGTACGGCGGGCCACGGGAGGCGTGCGTGCGCTCCGAACGACATTCTGGAGGGTGATACCCGATTGACCACGTCCCGATTGACCACCAGCCACTCACAGCGCTTGAACAGTGGAAAATCTCTAGGCACCGGCTGCTGTGAGTGGCTGTGGTCAATCGGGACGTGGTCAAACGGGACGCTCCCCATTCTGGAGCAGCGGGTCAAACGGGGCACATGGTGTGTACTCCTCTCGTATTAAATTCGGAGTTTATATATATAATAAATATAATATTGAGGAAGCAAAAGGCGGTTTTGATTTCTATACCTAAAAGAAGAGAGCTCCAGATTCATCAGGTTATGGGCCCAGCTAAGTTAAGGACTGATGAGATAAATTCGGATTTACGCACCTCAAAGCTAAGTACGTTACAACTGTATAAGCACGTTATAATCTAAATATATTGAGACGTATAAGTACGATATACGAACGGAAAGTAAAGGAACGAATTATGGCAGCGACCCAGAACGTGAAATATAATCATTATAACGTAGATCCGTTAAATGGAAGTAACTATGAGGCGTGGAAATTCAGAGTGAAAACGATATGATCGAGCAAAATATAGAGGACATGATAGAGAGTGAATACCAGGCCGAAGCATATGCAGATTCGAAGAAGAAGGAAGAAGCAAGGAAGAAGGATAACAAGTGCAAGTCCGTGATTATACAGTGTATAGATGATACACAGATAGACCTCGTCCGAGACAAAGAAACGGCATATGCCATGTGGAAAAGTCTAATGAATTTCTATGAGAAGAAAGGCTTATCTGGACAACTATTTTTAAGAAGAAAACTTATGTCGTTGAAAATGGATGATGATGAAAAATTAGAAGAGTTCCTTCTAAGGTTCGACCGTGTTCTATGCCAGTTAAAAGCGTCCGGTGCCGAGGTAAAAGAGCAAGATACAATATGCACGCTTCTTCTTGCACTGCCAAAATCATACGAAACAGTGGTAACGGTGTTGGAAAACCTACCGACAGAAGATGTAAACTTGGAATTCGTAAAGGCAAGACTCAAGATGGAAGCCGAAAAAAGGACCCAGAGTGATCGAAAGCAAGATGAAACGGTCAAATCGAACGCTTTCATGTCCAATAAATCGTTCACATGCCACAATTGTGGTGGGTATGGACATCTTAAAAGAAATTGCAAAAAGCCCTTTCGAGGATTCACATTCCACGGAAGTGGAAATCGAGGCAGCACGTACCACGGAAGTGGAAATCGAGGAAGCACATACCACGGAGGTGAAAATCGAGGAGGATATAGAAGAGGAGCCACATATCGAGGAGACACAAATCGAGGAGGCACGAGCCGTGGCAGTGGAAATGTTGGGAGCAGACCGAAGCACCAGAGAGGGGGAGACTACCAATCACATCCACGGAACAGTTATGGCACGAGAAGGGGAAATTATGTCGAAGCTGATGACGTCGGTGATGACAGCATTTGCTTCATGGGCGATAGAGATAAGTCTGTTCAAAATACGGGTAAAGATACTATTGTTTTCTTCATCGATTCAGGATGCACTGATCATTTGATAAATGAAAAGGCCCATTTTAATAATCTAATGATGTTA